TGACATCATATTCCAGCCCCGGTCTCATTAAGCAGTGCGCTGGGGAGGGGGAGCTGAGACAGAACAGCCAGCTCCCTCTGTGGCCGCAGTTGAGCCATCTGCCTGCCTGGCCCCAGGTGCCGACGGCCCACCGGGAAATTTCCCGGTATCCCGGTGGGCCAGTCCAGCTCTGGGAAGAGGAAGGGGTTAAAATCTTACCTTTCTCCAGCGCCGGGCGGGGAGCTTTCCTCCTCCTCTCCTCTCCTCTTCATCGGCTGAATGCGCATGCGCGGCAGGAGCCGCGCGCACATTCAGCCAGTCTCATAGGAAAGCATTTACAATGCTTTCCTATGGACGCTGGTGTCTTCTCACTGTGATTTTCACAATGAGAAGCACGCAAACGCCTCTAGCAGCTGTCAATGTGACAGCCACTAGAGGCTTTAGAGGCTGGATTAACCCTAAGTTTTCTCTGAAACTGCTATGTTTATTAAAAAAAAGGGTTAATCCTAGCTGGACCAGGCACCCAGACCACTTCATTAAGCTGAAGTGGTCTGGGTGCCTATAGTGGTCTTTTAAGTGTGGATCGCTACTATGTTTATTCCTAAAATGTAACGGGACGCTGTGTTTTTCAAATCCCTTTCTAATATTTCTTGTATGTTCCTGGATCCTGGTATTTAATGTCCTAGTGGTCCTCCCTATATATGCCAGCCCGCAAGGGCAGGTAATCATATATATTGATATACTTAGTGGAGTGGCATGTGATAATTTGTTTGATTTTAAACCTTTTGCTTTCATCTTGTGGGTGACAAAACTCTTTTATTAGCTGTTTTTTACTTTTAGAATTTTTACATGCCGCACATATACCACAACCATAAAAGGCATTTGATTCTTTAAAAAAATTGATTCACCAATCTTTTTAGTGGTATGTGGTTCCATACTAAATTGCTTCTTAAATTTTGTACACCCCTGTGTATTATAGTAGGTTTTTCTGGGAGTATAAAATTGAGAATGGGATCGTTCCTCAATATTGGCCAATATGTTCTAATACTTCTATTTAAATGACCACTATTGCAGTTATAGTCACAAATAAATAAAATTTACATTTTGATGTTCTGTATTATTTCCCCACTCCCTTATATTCAATTAGTTTCTTTCTGTCTTCTCTTTCAACATTGTCATAGGCATTTTCTAGCAATCTATCTTGATACCTTTTTTTTTTTAAAATAATTTATTATTCTGTGAGATTGTTCCTGAAATTTTCTCTACAGTTGCGTTTGATCCTAAGGAGTTGTACTTTGGGAGCGTTCAACAGTCACTGGGAGATATTACAGCTATTCCCCCCTATGCAGCGGTTGACGTCAACTTTCTTTAAAAAAGTACAAATTTTCAGTGTGTTATTTTCCACATAGGTATTAAGTTCTAAAAATTCCACAGATGTTTTACTAAAGTGGCTAATGAGTTTAATGCCCCAGTCATTGGTATTTAAGTGAGTTAAAAAAGTAGTTAGTGTCTCTTCATCCCCTTTCCAAATAAAAAATATATAATCAATATAATAGGTCACAAGGCTTGCATCCCACATAAATCCCTTCATAAATAAACTCTTGTTCCCAATGAGATATAAATAAATTTGCATAACTGAGTGCGAACCTCGTGCCCATCGTCGTCCCGCCAATCTGTAGATAAAACTGTTCTCCAAACCAAAAATAATTATTATTTAAAATCCAATTGATTCCTTCTATAATAAAATGTATTTGATTTTCTAAAAATCTTTGAGAACTTTCCAAAAAGTGTCTTGTTGCCCTTTTGTGTGAGAAATTATGGTGTATATAGAACTAACGTCTGCTGTTATGAGATAATAATTGTCACTCCATATAATGTTTTGAAGGATCTGCAAGATATTGATAATGTCTTGTAAATAACTAGGGCAGGTACTAACAATAGGCTATAGGCACCTATCGATGTATTGAGATAATTTGCTAGAGATAGAACCAATCCCTGAGACTATTGGTCCGCCGGGTGGTCTATCTCTATCCTTATGTATTTTTGGCAGATAATAAAACACAGGAATTTTAGGATACTGTACATGTAAAAATGTATATTCTTTTTGATTAAATTATGTTTCATATATAAAACATTCACATGAAATGTAAGCCATGTTTCTCCTGAACAAAATGATATATAAGAAGTGTGGGTGCACTTAGTATGAAAGAAGTGAATTATGGTTATAAACATTGTGGCGAAACCGACCTCACCACTGGGCATTGGAGAAGACTGATTGCCAGCCTCCTGCCATGTGACTATGGCCCCTGGGATGTATTGCCTTTTAAAGACATGATTTGGGCATAAGGGATTTGTGTTGTGCTGCTGCTGGCCCTTTAAGAACCATCTGGGGATATACTGTGGAGTTACTGGGTGGCCACCATTTCCTGTATCAGAGGCACATGGTGAGAACAATGGATGAAGCACATGGTAAGAACAATGGATGGCGGCCATTTTAACTCACAGACATTGTTTGGACTTTTCAACACAGTGCCATCTCGCCGGGACATCGTGCAGGAGTTTTAAACTATACAACAGGGGACACATTATACAGTAATTGTTTTTCATTTAACCTGCATATGTTCTGTGGAATCTGCATTAAACAGTATCTTCCAAAGTACTGAACGGATCTGGGTGAATTTTGGATATGTGGTTCACCCAGATCCCCCGGATATACTTTTTATGGGGTTATTGCATGTTTTGGGGTCCCTGTGATATGTTTTATGATATTGTATTTCTTTGCCTGTGATAATTAGATTAACCATTGTGTTCAGTAATAATATCACAGGCAGAGGGGAGGATTTTGTGTGGGAGTGTCTGTGTTATTGTACAGATTAATTGGTTGTTCTGTAAAACCATGTGGGCAGTACTAAGTTTGTGGATTGGGAATAAAAGAGGCTGTATGTGCCAGTACAGTCAGTTCCTGCTTAACCCTCAAAGTGAAGTGTCGTCTCATTATTGGGGGAGGATTTATTGTATGCTGTTCCAGTCTGACTGCGAGGAGTCTAAACCTATTCGCATGGTTTTTCCTATTCGGCTGTATACAACATTCAATGCTTGAGAGCATTCATATGCTCCTACGGTTCGGTGGTTTTGGTGTCTGCTGCAGTGCTTGGAGTCCTCAGGATGTGCTAGGAGGTACCCAGTCGGGGTGCCAGGTGATCCATTACAAACATATAGCGCAAATCCCAGGTTTTGTTTAAGTTTTGTTTTGATCACAACTTGTACAATTGGCTCCATCCTTAAGGGGTTAAAGCATGACGAAACACTCAAAGATATTTTACCTGAAAAACCTAATATTATTTTTAAAAGAGCTCCATGTTTTAAATCTATCTTAACTACTAATTTTACAAGTGAATCTAAACCCAATAAAAAATCACACATGTCATTTTCACTGAAGCTAAAGGATTTTACAAATGCAAACGTTGCTTTGTTTGTAAAAGTACTAACACATCTGTAGCATCCAAAACCACACATTTTATATCCAATAGAACAACAAAAAATTTATAATATTATTTATAAGATTTTATTAGTTGCAGTACTAAAAATGTCATTTATCTGCTGGAGTGCCCATGTGGCCTCCAATATGTTGGAATGACCACCTGAAGTTTAAAAATAAGATTAAGCATATACTGTAGAAATATTGTAAAAGGATATCCAAATCACTCAGTATCGAAGCATTTTGCTATACACAACAACGACCGCAAATTATTAAAGTGTATTGGCATAAAAAATGTAATATCCCCTTGGAGAGGAGAAAATATAAAAATATCCTTAGCAAAGCTGAACTGGAATGGGTGTTTAATTTACAGACACTCTCCCCCAATGGTTTAAATGCAGAATTTGATCTGTTCAATTGTATCTAATCTTTTCCAATATTCACTTACTCCTCTCTCTTTAGACATGTGTATATCTCTCTTTTATCCACTTTTTGTAGTATAATTATTGCTTATTTGCTTGTTTTTTTTTTATACTGACTGTTATCATTATAATTATGTTCATTTATTTATATATTTATATATATATTTTTTTTTTATATATTTATTTTCATATATGTGTCTTTTTATCCAGACTTATATCATATTTTATTTATGATATCTGTCTTATTTCCCCGTAGGATTATCTAGCCACTGATTTAATTCCCCATTCAAGGTGGCCCCTGTCATGTTGATCTTTTACTAATTTTTTCCTCAACCAAAATGGTCGCAGCAGTAATTATAAAAATGAT